GTTCTTCTTGTGAGAATTGCATGTCCATAGGATCAGCATGAAGAGTAAAGCAGCCCAAAAGAAAACACTGGTAAATTACCTGTTTTTGCTGTAGTGAAGCTTTGCATGTATGTAGGTTTGTTTTAATGTAATCCATAGGAGGATACATTAAAGCAAATATATTATTCATTGTTATATGTTGGGTGTAATTTTGATTCCTAACAGGGATTCTAATTTTTTCTTTTCCCTGACTACAGTGGATAAGTGGTTCCATCACCAGAAAAACTAAGGAAATTTCTCTGGAATACAAGCTGATATTGCTGCATCCTTTTCGTCTGAAAGCATTAGATGCAAAAGTAGTAACTTTTCCAAGCTTTAAATTTATAGAACTAATCAATCAAATTCTGCTGTGACCAATCCAATATATCCATACTGTTATCCATCTAAAAGCATCTTTCATATCAACTAAGATAACTTTTAGTTCCTGCTTAAATATCAAGACAGTTGTAGTTTGGAAGTCATCTGTGAATAAATGTCCAAGATAAGTACGTATTGGATGTATATGTTTGCCATGTGTTAGGAAATAAAATTATTTTATTGAAACTTGGTTTATGATATTTTTATTTTAATCTTAAGCCTAACACTACCAAGCAGGCTTGGGTGCTGTTTGGTATTTGTTTTCTGTGAATGATCTTATAATTCACTTTTATTTATTAGACTAAAACTGACTTTATTTGTAGGCACCTGAAAATGAAATCCCTTATATTTACAGCAGTCTTGATACTATACTCTTACCTAATTCCTATCATCCCATTGTGAGCCATCAGCCAAGATAGTTTTGTGATTAAATTCGTGGCTTTGGAGCTGTGCAGACCTGAGTTTTTAATCCTAGCCCGTCTACTTATTTAGCTCTATAATCTCAGGTCAGTGTTGGCATACACTGACTGTGTTTTCTCAATCAAGTTGTGATTTTCTTGGTTGTTGTTATGATGGGTGATTGTTAATAATATCCTAGACATTTTGTCTGTTATGTTAGGAGACACTAGGATCCATTTAAATCTTTTAGCAGGCATCACCCTATTTAGGGTTAGCACATGGGTCTTGGCCTGCTTTTGTGGACTGTGGTTTCAATGGCAGTTTAATTTTCAGCAGCTTTGCAGTGTTATTTTGGTCAGCTTGGTTTATCTGGTGCCACTGGGGCTTCTGTTGGTTCCTGCTGGTGCTGCCTGAGGGGGCTGAGTATCTCTTGGTGGAGGAGGAGAGTCTTAGGCTACAGGGATAAAGAAGCTTCCTGAACTGGTCTACCCATCATAGCTGGATTTCTCCCTCAGGCTCAGCTCACCCACCTACCTAGGTAACTCTTGGTGGAAAAGGGGAGTCTCAGACCTTGTGCAGAAGGAGAGTGCCTCCCTGGTTGTTTATTTCTGCCTGGGCTCCCAATGAGCCCCCTTGCCAGGTAGTGTCATGCCCACCAGAGGGACCCCCCTTCCCTATGGGGGAGGTGGAGGAATGAGCCTATCTAGACTGCCTTCTGTTGCTAGGTTAGGGGTTGGGAAGGACTCTTCTCCTCCTCCTGGTGGTGGTAGGATGCATGTGCCCTGTCACTGCTGTTCTCTGGTCCTGGGGGCCCAAACCAGCTTGCCTTCTTAGCACCTTTCAGAGTTCTTGGTTGTGTCTTGTCACCTCCAGGGTCTATAGCTGTGCTTAGCAGGAGAAGTAGAGAAAAACAGGTCTATGCCTTCTTGTCTGGTCCAGGACCAGAAACATCAGCATTCAGATTTTAGTAATATTTCTCTTATTCCTTTTGTAAGTTCTGCTTTTAAATGCTGCCTCAGTCATTGTAATATGTGATTTCTGAAGTGATTTGTTACGATAAGAAATATGTTTTCTAATGAAAGACTATACAAAGTGGGGGACTTCACAAGTATTAGTCCAATAAATAGGAATCATCCGCCCAAATTTATGGAAAGGAAAGGGGATAGAACACTAGTCAGAAGAAATGTCAGCAATAGTTCTCCTGTATGAGATCCTCTGTAGAAAGCTTCCACTCCTCTGTTCAGGTAAGGAATGTAAAATACTCTTGTATTCACTTGCTAGGCTACCATAACCAAGTACCACAAACTGGATGGGCTAAACAAGAGAAATGTATTGCCTCACTGTTCTGGAAGCTAGAAGTCCGAGATCCAGGTATCAGCAGGCCCATGCTCCCTCTGAAGACTATTGGGAAGGGTCTGTTCCAGGCCTCTCCCTGCTTTTGATAGTTCCTGGCTTGTGGCAGCATAACCCTAATGTACACAAGGTGTTCTCCCTGTGTGCTTGTTTCCAAATTTCCCCTTATAAGGACATCAGGGGAAAGAATTCCCTGGGGTCCAGTGGTTAGGACTGTGCTTTCACTGCCATGGGCCCGGATTCAATCCCTAGTTCGGGAACCACAGGCTGTGTGGCGCGGCCAAAAAGAAAAAAATACAAACATCAGTCAGGGCTTCCCTGGTAGTGCAGTGGTTAAGGATCCGCCTGCAAATGCAGGGGACACGGGTTCGAGCCCTGGTCCAGGAAGATCCCACATGCCACGGAGCAACTGAGCCCGTGCACCACAACTACTGAGGCTGCGCTCTAGAGCCCGCGAGCCACAACTACTGAGCGCACGTGCTGCAACTACTGAAGCCCGCGCGCCTAGAGCCTGTGCTCCACAAGAAGCCCACTCACTGCAACAAAGAGTAGCCCCCGCTCGCCACAGCTAGAGAAAGCCCGTGCGCAGCAATGAAGACCCAACGCAGCCAAAAATTTTTAAAAATAAAATAAATAAATTGAAAAATAAAATAAAATAAATACAAAAAATAAAGTATACAACACAATGGTTCTTCCTTTAAAAAAAAAGATACATGCACCCCAGTGTTCATTGCAGCACTATTTGTAATAGCCAAGATACGGAAGCAACCTAAATGTCCATTGACAGAGGAATGGATAAAGAAGATGTGGTACATTTATACAATGGAATATTACTCAGCCATAAAAAAACAATGAAATAATGCCATTTGCAGCAACATGGATGGACCTAGAGACTATCATACTAAGTGAAGTAAGTCAGACAGAGAAAGACAAACATCATATGTTATCACTTGTATGTGGAATCTAAAAATATGATACAAATGAACTTATTTACAAAACAGAAACAGACTCACAGACTTGGAAAACAAACTTATGGTTACCAAAGGGGAAAGGTGGAGGGGAGGGATAAATTAGGGGTTTGGGATTAACATATACACACAATTATATATAAAACAGATAATCAACAATGACCTACTGTACAGCACAGGAAACTCTACTCAGTATTCTGTAATAACCTATATGGGAAAATAATCTGAAAAAGAATGGATATATGTATAACTGAATCACTTTGCTGTACACCTGAAACGAACACAACATTGTACATCAACTACACTCCAATATAAAATAAAAATTAAGTTAAAAAAAATTTTTAAATGTAATCTCAGCAACACTGCATGATCAATGCAGTTTTTCAGGTAAGGCAATCTGAAGCGTTGGCCCAGTTGTATAAAGGATCTGAATGAGAACTCCAATTAGAAATTCAAAATTCATTTTCACCATCCCTGAGCCCAGGCCTGCATGTGCTGCAGCTGTAATGGCAATTATGTCCTATCTAATCAGCACATTTGCTACGCAAGAGCTTATATTGTGCTTCTGCACAGAATGTTCTTTACATTTAGAACAGCTGCCCTTACTGCTTTCTGGGAGTCTAGGCCAAAGGGAATTTGCCTTTACACTGACAAGAGTGCTGTGCGAATTGCTTCATGATGGCAAGTATTTATTGAAGAGTTATTAACTCGAGTCGATTGCCACAGAGTTTATTGCTCCCTCTGTCTCTCTTTGGGATCTTTCCCTTAGTTATTACAAAACCTTTAAATTAACAGAAAATATTCGCCAGAAATAAGATTAAGCAATGAACACCACAAGGGTATGTGGCAATCTGAATTTTTTAAAAAGGCTGAGAGCAAAAAAAAAAAAAAAAAAGCCTGAGAGCAATTTGGCAATCTCTATCAAAATTTTAAATTTGTCTTTATACTTTGAGTCAGCAATTCTGCTCTAAGACTTCATTCTAGTTGACTAAGAATAGTCAACCGGGCACACAGCCTATGGCAGCTTTGTTAAGTATAGCAAAACCCGGAAAAATATCCAGCAGTCCAGTTAAGGAATGGCTAAATATTCGTACATGTAGCAGTCAGTGAAGTCACTGCATGGGCTGATATGGAAAAGATGTTCAAAATACCTAAGTGAAAAGAGAAAAAGTTGTAGTACTCTATAGCTGCCAGCTATGGCCTGTGGGCCAAATCCAGCCTGCCAGAGGTTTGGTAAAAACACTTTATTGGAACACAGTCACACCCTTTCATTTATGAATTGCTGTGACTGCCTTCCAGCTACAATGAAGACAGAATTTAGTAGTTGGGATAGAGACCACATGACCTGCAAAGTCAAAAATATTTACTATTTGACCCTTTACCAAAACCATTTGCCAATCCCCGCTCTATCCTATGATCCTATTTATGTTTTTACAAAGGGAGCACTGTGGGGAAAGAGACACATTAATGGATATGCTTGTATGGGTATAGACAATTTCTGGGGACAAACAAACAAAAATAAACCACAGCCAACACTGGTTATCTCAGGGAGTGGGAATGAGTTACGTGCGGAAGAGGTCAGGCCCATGGAGTTTCCTTCCACTTTGTAGGCTCCTATGCTCTTTTTTTTTTTTTTTAATTTATTTATTTGTTTTTCTTTTTGGCTGTGTTGGGTCTTCGTTGCTGTGTGCGGGCTTTCTCTAGTTGAGGTGAGCGCGGGCTACTCTTCGCTGCAGTGCCCAGGCTTCTCATTGCGGTGGCTTTTATTGTTTTGAAGCATGGGCTCTAGGCGCGAGGGCTTCAGTAGTTGTGGCAAAGGGGTCAGTGGTTGTGGCTCGCAGGCTCTAGAGTGCAGGCTCAGTGGTTGTGGCGCACGGGCTTAGTTGCTCCGCAGCATTTGGGATCTTCCCGGACCAGGGCTCGAACCCATGTCCTCTGCAGTGGCAGGCGGATTCTTAACCACTGCGCCATCAGGGAAGCCCGTAAGCTTCTATGCTCTTCTATGCTCTTTGAATTGTTTTTCTAAAAGCAAGTATAAAATTTTAAATTTTTTTAAAGAAAATCAAATGAAGTAGGAGAAGGACACCAGCGGACAGTGCTCAGCACAGCTAGTGGCAGGGGGCTTCTCTTTCTCTCTCTCTATATATATATGTATACATATGTGTATATATGTAATATATATTATATATCATATATATGTTACATATATATGATATATGTAATATATCATATATGTAACATATATATGATATATATACTTATATATGGATATACACGTGGATATATATTATATATACTTATATGTATATATATATTATATATATACTTTAAATACAGAATAAGGACTGGGAGGGACTGAGCCGTGGAATCTAATTTTTAACCAGTTCCCCAGGTGATTCTAACATCGCCTATGTTTGAAACCACTGCTCTAGTCGTAAATTTCAGAGATCAGGAAAAATTTCTCATGGGGTTGTAGTTATGATCAGCATGAGATAATCCAGCAAACATCTATCACAGCAACAGCAGCAAATGATAATAGCTCCCATTTGTGAACACTTCCTAAGTGCCAGGCCCTATGCTATAGGCTCTACGTGCTTCATCTCGTGGGTATCCTTGTCCTGTCCCTCATCTTAGAGGCTATGCTTTCAGCTTTTCACCAGTGAGTTTAATGTCGGCTGTAGGTTTATCATATACGGCCTTTATTATGTTCAGATAAACCTACAGATGTTGGCCGTAGGTTTATCATATATGGCCTTTATTATGTTCACTGTATACCGACTTTGTTGAGAATTTTTATCATAAATGGATGTTGAATTTTGTCAAAAGCTTTTTCTGCGTCTTATTGAGACGATCGTATGATTTTCATTCTGTAATTTGTTAATGTGGTGCATCACACTGACTGATTTGTGGATGTTGAACCATCTTGCATCCCAGGGATAAATCCCACTTGATCATGGTGTATGATCCTTTTAATGTATTGTTGATTTAATGTATTTTATTTATTTTTAAAATTACACAACATTTTTAAAATTAAATTTTTTGGAGTATAATTGCTTTACAATGTTGTATTAGTTTCTACCATACAGCAAAATGAATCAGCTATACATATATATATATATCCCCTCTTTTTTAGATTTCCTTCCCATTTAGGTCACCACAGTGCATTAAGTAGAGTTCCCTGTGCTATACAGTATGGACTCATTAGTTATCTATTTTATACATAGTATCAATAGTGTACATGTGTCAGTCCTAATCTCCCAATTCCTTCCATTCCCTCTTCCCACTTGGTATCCATACATTTGTTCTCTATCAATAGTGTACATGTGTCAGTCCTAATCTCCCATTCCTTCCATTCCCTCTCCCCCCTTGGTATCCATACATTTGTTCTCTATTTGCTTTGCAAATAAGATCATCTATACCATTTTTCTAGATTCCACATATATGCGTTAATATACGATATTTGTTTTTCTCTTTCTGACTTACTTCACTCTGTATGACACTCTCTAGGTCCATACACGTCTCTACAAATGACCCAATTTCGTTCCTTTTTATGGCTGACTAATGTTCCATTGTTATATGTGCCACACCTTTATTGATTCCTCTGTTGGTGGACATTTAGGTTGCTTCCGTGTCCTGGTTATTGTAAATAATGCTGCTATGAACATTGGGGTGCGTGTGTCTTTTTGAATTATGGTTTTGTCTGGGTATATGCCCACGAGTGGGATTGCTGGGTCATATGGTAGTTCTATTTTTAGTTTTTTAAGGAACCTCTATACTGTTTTCCACAGTGGCTGTATCAATTTACATTCCCACCAACAGTGCATGAGGAGAAAATATTTGCAAGTGAAGCAACTGACAAAGGATTAATCTCCAAAATATACAAGCAGCTCAATATAAAAAAAAACAAATAACCCAATCAAAAAATGGGTGGAAGACTTAAATAGACATTTCTCCAAAGAAGATACACAAATTTTAATATGTTAAAAATTCAAAAATTACAGATAAAGTCCTCCTTGCTTGCTGTCAATCCTACTCCCTTCTTAGAGATTAACCACTATCAGTTCGGTATGACTCTTTCTTGATTTTTCTCTATGCTTTTACACACATTTATCTGAATATAAATATACAATTTAGTATTTTTTAAGTATGTATGGGATCATAGTTATATACATTTTGAAATTTCATGTTATTATTTATAGATGCTACCCAATTCTTTTAAACTGGTGTAAAGATAATACAGATGTATTGTTGAACACATATTCTTAATCGACTCCATGAGACATGTTCCTGAAATCTAATGTGTTGTAGGTAGCTGGGATGCTGATTACAAGTTGGAGAATAGAAGGGGGCCAGGCAAGAAAGGTAGGCAAGGATCAGATAATGAAAGGGCTTGCTAAGGAGACCCTGGACTTTAGGAGGCCCTCGAGAGGCACCAACAGTTTTTAAAACTGGAAAGGACTATTATCTTATTTCCGTAATGGGTACAGAAGTATTCAAGGAATCCTGATGATCTGCAATGCTGTTTGATAATATCTCCCCCTCCCCGCCATACCCTTCTCATTAGGAAATATCCAAGCATATTTATTGAATGCATGACTCCTCTATAAATACTGGAATGGTCATGGTGTGATATGCCATTTGAACATGTTCCACAAGCATTTGCTGGGTGGCCCTACAGGAGGCAGTGGAGGGGAGTACGAAGTGGTGTAGTGGTTTCCAAAGCAGGGTCCAGGGCTCTCTGGAGGTGCTAGAGCGCCCTCCAGTGGGGCCATTAAAAATCTAGGAGATGATTTCCAAGTACCACTAGACTGCAAGACTCATGAGGGCAGGGACCCTATCTCTTCTGTTCCCCTCTGTATTCTGAGCACCTAGCATATGTCCTCACATATAGCATGCACTTCATAAATATTGAATGAATTAATCTAAAAAATACAAATTCTTTCATTGCTTCCTAAAGGGAAATAAATATGTAGCAAAATATGACTATAATTGGGTATCCACAAACTAAAATGTGTATTTTTGGACTTCCCTGAGAACTCTAATTCAATATTCAAAGTAGTCAAAAATTTTGTAAAGCTTCCACATTCAGGCTTCTTTTCTTTTCCTTTTTTGCACATATGGAGGGGGCTGGAATTTCTGCAATGTAAGGAAAGAATCTTTATTTTGTTGCATCCTTAATGCTTCTTGGGGACCTCGACCAATGTTTTTAAATTAAGAACTATCATTAATTATTCTACTAATATTAAGGGAGTATGTTGTGGGTGCTGGGTTAACCCTGTAATATGAATAGATACAAGAGTAGCTGCTAAACCTGTGTCTCCAAAGCCAGAGCCCAAGCCTGAAAAGACCCCTGTAAAGAAGGGAGAGCAGGGACCCAAACAGAAAAGTGGAGGGACTTCCCTGGTGGCACAGTGGCTAAGACTCCACGCTCCCAATGCAGGGGGTCCAGGTTCGATCCCTGGTCAGGAAACTAGATCCCATATGCATGCTGCAACTGAAGATCCCACGCGCCGCAATGAAGATCCCACACATGGCAATGAAGATCCTGCGTGCGGCAACTAAGACCTGGCGCACCCAAATAAATAAATAAATAAATAAATACTTTTTTTAAAAAGAGAGAGAGAAAAGGGTAAAAGGCGATGTTGGCAAGGATGGGAATAACCCTGCAGAAAATGGAAATGCCAAAATACACCAGGCACAGAAAGATGAAGGTGCTGGAGGTGCCAAGTGAAACCAAAAACTGTTTTGTTTTTCAAAAAAATTTTTTTTAATATTTATTTTTATTTATTTGGCTGCATCAGGTCTTAGTTGCAACACTCCGGATCTTTGTTGCGGCACACGGGCTCTTTTGTTGTGGTGTGCGGGCTCAGTAGTTGCAGCACGTGGGCTTAGTTGCCCCGCAGCACGTGGGATCTTAGTTCCCTGACCAGGGATGGAACCCGCGTCCCCTACATTGGAAGGCGGATTCTTAACCACTGGACCGCCAGGGAAGGCCCCTGTTTTTTTTAATTGTCGTAAAATACACATAACATAAATTTACCATCTTAACCATTTTTAAGAGTACTGTATAGTTTAGTAGTGTTAAGTACATTCACAATGCTGTGCAACAGATCTCCAAAATTCTTTTCATCTTGCAGAACTGAAACTTTATAACCATTAAACAATTCCCCATTTCCGCCCCCTCCCAGGCCATGGCAAGCACCATTCTACTTTCTGTCTCTAGGAAGCTGAGAACTCTAGGTATCTAGTATAAGCGGAATTATATAGTATTTGTCTTTTTGTGACTGGCTTCTTTCACTTAGCATGTCCCCCAAGCTCATTCATGTTGTAGCATGTATCAGAATTTCCTTCCTTTTTAAGGCTGGGTAATATCCATTGTATGTGTATATCACATTTTGTTTATCCATTGATGGACACATGGGTTGCTTCCACCTCTTGGCTGTTGTGAACATTGCTGCTGTGAACATCAGTATACAAATATCTCTTTGAGACCCTGTTTTCAATTCTGTGGGTTATATACCCAGAAGAATTGCTGGATCATATGATAATTCTATTTCCTATTTTTGAGCAACCCCCGTATTGATTTCCGTAGGGGCTGCACCATTTTACATTCCCATCAACAGTGCACAGACTAGGAAACATACAATTAGTTTAAGAAGAATTAAGGTTTTTTTCCTAATTGCACTCTAGATTATGTCAAAGGGAAAACATTTAGAAATCTTAAGACTTTTACCTCTTCAAATTTTAGATGGATTGCTTTTCAGAATGATTTTTCTAATCAACATTTTATGAAATCCTCTAGCTGATAAAAGGTTAAACATTTACATTCTTCTCAAGAATTGAATGAATTTTTATGTATTAACACAGATGGTGTTCCAGTTTTTACCATGCTCAATGCAGCAAGGGATCATTAATTTTCAGCATGCATGCCCTTTCGGCTCCCTGGTCTCTCCTCTCCTTCACAGCCACATTTCTAATGGCACTGGCCAGGGTCACCGCCCCCTTTCCTCCTCTCATGGTCTCTCCTTAGGTCACTCCAGTCCAGCATCCATCCCCATTACTCCCCTGAAACTGCATGGGGGTGCCCATGGCCCCCATGTTGACAATTCCAATAGGTGGTTAATTTTATGGGTCAACTTGACTGGAATAAAAAACACCCAGATAGCTGGTGAAACATTATTTCTGGGTGTGTCTTGTGTTTCTGGAAGAGGTTAGCATTTGCTTCAGTACACTGAGTAAAGAGATGTGCCCCTCACCAACGTCGACGGGCATCATCCAATCCGTTGAAGGCCCAAATGGAACAAAAAAAACACAAAGGGCAAATTCTCTCTCTTCTTGAGCTGGGACATCCACCTTCCTGCCTTTGGACATCAGAGTTCCTTGCTCTAGGACCTTCAGACTCCAGGACTAACACCACCAGCCCTCTGATTCTCGGGCCTTCAGAGTCAGACTGAACTATTCCACCGACTTTTTTGCTCTTTAGCTTGCAGATCAAAGCTCGTCGGACTTCTCAGCCTCCATCACTGAGTGAGCCAATTCCTTCATGTATCTCCTCTTATACAAATCTATGTATCCTATTGGTTCTCTTTCTCTGGAGAACCCTAATACAGTTGCTTTTCAGTCTCCATTTCAGTTTCTGAGTGCCTGTCAACCTAATGTTGAGCATGCATAGGGGAATAAGAATAGAGTGGGGAGAAGAATTACATAAAACTCCTCTGCTCAAACCCTCCATCTCCAGATCACTCACAAGAAAGTCTAAAGTCCTCACAGTGGCCTACAAGGCTCTAAAGATTTGCCCCTGTTGGGAGACAATTCTCTATGAATCTCATATTTCTGCACTTCTTGGAGCAGAGGTACTGGAGGCCTTTATTTCGACTATCTTTTCAAGGACGTTCATATAAAGAACAGCCTTGGAAGAGACTCTCCATCTGAGGCAGGGGATAGTTTTGTCTGCTGTCCAGTGTAATACTGTCTCCATCTGGGTCAAAAGTCAGCCAGGTTTGCCTGCAGTCCATTATGAAAGACTGGGGCTCCCTAAGCTCTGGGTTCTTCAGCTGTGATGCAAATCCACTCTATGGGCAGCATCCACCTGGGCTGCTCTGCATCACCCCAGAGTACTTGTTGGGGGGCAAGTGCAAAATACACAAACATGAAGCTCAGGCTTTGAGGTAATAAAATCCTTTGTCTCTGGCCCAGGAGTCTCGTGTTTGCCAGTATCCGTGGAAGTGTGCCTGGCTAACTCATTAGGTAAGCTCTCAGAACCTTCCCAATTCTTAACCACCTACCCCACACCTTTCTCACCTCACCTCCTGCTACTACTTCCCTTTTCACCCTGCCTGGCTACGCTGGCCTCCCAGCTGCTCCTGGAAGCTGCCATGAACACTCCTCCTTGAGGCCTCTGCACATGCTGTGCTGTCAGCCTGGAACATGTTACCCCCAGATGTCCTTCAGGTCCTGTCCAAATGGCACCTTGGTGGGGCCTTCCTTGACTACTCTCTACAACAGCCTCGCCACCAATAAACGGGTCGACTTTTGCCAACCTGATGGGTGAAAATGGTATCTCAGTGAGTTTTAAATTTATTAACTTTTGTTATTTTCTGTATTTATTATATTTCTATTATGAGTTTATTATGATTAAAAGCCATGTGTATTTCCTTTCCTGATAATTGTGATTCTCTCCTTGTCTATTTTTTTTAACAACAGTCTTTTTAATTTTTCACTTGCCTATGATGTGATTACACATATTTTTTCTCGTCATCTGTCTTGAGTTTACAGTGTTATCACTGTTGCTGTTTTGCCATATAAAATATTTTTATTTTTCTGTGGTTAAATTTATCAATCTTTTCTTTTATGGCTTCTGGCTTTTCAATCATAGCCAGAAAGGCCTTCTCTATTCCAGGATTATAAGGAATTCATCCATGCTTTTTTAAAATTTTTCTAGTACTTTTATGGTGTCATTTTTAAATATATATATTTTTGAATCATTTGGAACTTACTTGATGTGGCATGTGACTTATAAATTCAACTTTTAGGTTTTCTTGACAACCCAACTGTCCCAACCCTTTTATTATTTATTTATTTTAAGCACATAATTGAAACACTTCTTAAAAACGTACTCTGAAAAAATTGCTTACGTGCATGACAATGCCTCTTTCACCCATTTTAGAGGTGGGTACACTGTAGTTTGGGGCATTTGTCAACTTGACCAAGGCTTCCCAGCTGGTAAATGAAATTTGCAGCTCTCCTGAGAATCTGCCTGTGTGCTCCCTCCCTCCTCCTGAGTCCCCCAAGTCATCCTTGTGGTTTGGAAGCCTCTTACCTTACAGCCAGGCTTCTAACAAGGCCCGGTAGTCCAACGCATTAACTTGCATCATTAACTTGCACCGGGGCCAACCTGTGCCTCCAGGTGTGCACACCGGGGTTCCAAGCCCTCTGGACATAGTTCCCCTGGTTTAGTCAAAGCTGGTGAGAGGCCTCAGAACATAGCCTGACCCCTTTCAAATGTGTCTGGGCAGGATTCACACTCAATGCAGAAGACCCACAAGATGAAAGGAGGGGGAAGGTGGTGAACTTGCCTATCCAGCCCCCTCTGAGTATTGTTGGAGTTGCCAGGTGCCATTTTATCTTTTTAAAATTTTATTGTTTAAAATTAACTTTTGGGGACTTCCCCGGTGGTCCAGTGGTTAAGACTCGTTGCTTCCGATGCAGGGGGCGCAGCTTTGATCCCTGGCTGGGGAACTAAGATCCCACATGCCACGCAGCGTGGGCAAAAAACAAAAAAATAAATAAAATTAACTTTTATTGGAATATAGTTGATTTACAATGCTGTGTTAGTTTCTGCTGTACAGCAAAGTGAATCAGTTATATATATACATGTATCCTGTCTTTTTTAGATTCTATTCCCATATAGGTCATTACAGAGTATTGAGTAGAGTTCCCTGTGCTATACAGTAGGTCCATATTAGTTATCTATTTTATATATAGTAGTGTGTATATGTCAATCCCAATCTCCCAGTTTATCCCTCCCCCTACCCAGGTGCCACTTTAATTTTATTTCTGCATGTATCTGAGTTTATATCTGTACTTCGTTCCATTGGTTTGTGTGCCTTTTTGTGCACTAGTACCAAACTGTTTTAATTACTGAGGATCTATAATGTTTTAATATCTGATAGTGCTAGATCCCTCTCATTGTTCTGCTTCTTCAGAGCCTGTTTTCTGACTATTCTTGTTTATTTTTCCATTTGAATTTTAGGAACAAACAGGGTAGTTTAAAAAACACACACATAACACTCCCCTTTCACTTTGCCAACTGGACTTATGTCTTTATTGGTCATTCAAGTGGGGCAAAGGAAATACCCTTTTAAAACTCAAGTAAACGGGGTGTGTCTCGTAACCTGTCAGAGGAAACAAACTGTAATAAAAACACACACATAATAATTAATCCTATTAGTTCTTTTATAGGAATCAGGTTAAATTTGTAATTTTACTTACAGAAAATTGAGATCTTTATGATAGAGTCTTCCCATCCAAAAGCATCATTCATCTTTCCATTTGACTCAGTTTTCTTATCTGTAAAATCGGAGTAATAATACCAATCTCATAGGGCTGTCCTCAGAATTAAATGAGAAAATGCAGGTGAAGGAACCAATGATTTGGTTTGGAAGTGATTTGCCACTTCCTAGGGTATGAACTCGGGCTTGGTTACCACAGTATTCTGAACTTCGGTTCTCATTTGTAAACTGGGGATAACAATAGTATCTGCTTCACAGGGCCGTAATGAAAGGGTCAAATGAAATGCGGCCTGCAAAGTACTCAGTGCACTCGAACATAAGTACTCAATGAATATTAGCTGTTCTTCTAGAAAACAGGCTATCCCAGGGAACTGCGATTTAACGCAGAAGCTCGCTGGGATCCATATTAGGTCGAGGGCTCTGAGGTCAACTCTTCCTTCCGAGAACCTACCTACCTGCCGGTCGCCACTTCTGATTTTCCCCCAGCGTCTGGGAACGCACTCGGTCGGATTTGAAGCCGTCTAGGTCCCCCGCGTGACTCCAGGATGACGCCCCCACCCTCCGGGTCATGGCGCTGCCACGTCTCGCGGTTCCTGCACTCCCTACGGGAGGAGGCGGGGCCAAGTCGGGCCCGCCCCCGAGGGCCTTCGTCTCGCCTGAGGCCCGCCCCTCCGCGGGTCGCAGTCTCTGGTAGGGCGGCAGCGGGTGTCAGAGCGACGTGACGCTGCGAAGGGGCGGGGGCGAGCACGCGCCCGGAAGTCCCGGGGGAGGGGGTGTTACGTATATCCGGCGAGTAGGTGGCGGTCCAGGGTGCTTCTGGGCTCTGTGCTCTGAGGGAGGGTCCAAGCCGCCTGCCGCCGCCGGAGGAGCCCCTTAGCCGTGAGTCGGGGACCGCGGCGAAGGAGGGAGCCGGGGCCGGAGGGGCTGGGGTGGCCGGCGGAGAGGGTCGGGGCGGAGGCCGGCGCAGGCGGGATTTTGGGGGGGGAAGTGACACGCAGGCGCTTCTGTGGGGCCGCGGGACTCGTTCTGGGCGGGGACGGGCCGGCTTGGCCGGGTCTGCTCGGTCCCCTGCCGGCCTCTCGGGTATCGGGTCCATCAGCATTCCGCTCGGGGGTTTTGCAGCTGCTGGGCAGGATAACAGTTTTTCTGTCGGTACCGTGCGCTCTGGTTTACGAATCGGCTTCATATCCCCTGTCTCGGATGAGCTTCAGCCCTCGGTGGGGTGGATTGAAGTCCTTGACGATTATCCTTTTTTATTTTTTTTATTTTACAGATTCGGGGACTAAGGCTTGTTGAGGCACAGTGAATTGCCCAAGGCCCCGCAGATAGCAAGTGTGAGCGTTCGAACCAGATCTCCTGGCTCCTAGTCCAGGGCTCTCCCCACCCCCACTTCAGCTGTGTGTTATCGTCTGCTGCTGTCCTCGGTCGAACCCCGTGTTTTCTTCTTCCACTTCCCCCTTTTTCCCCTCTCTCTTCAGTGCATGGAAAAAAATCTCTGTTAGTATTCACCCTTGTTCTCGTCTTTTCTCCTTTACCGCGGTGCATCTGCTTAGGTTTTCACAGGGGGCTTTACAGAGTTTTGCAGTGGGGCTGACCTTTGACGTTTACTCTGCAGCCAAGCAGAGTTTCTTAGCTAAAAACCAGCGGCTTGCTACCCCCAGATCTGTCTGAAACGGTGTCTTCAGGTTGCTCTGAGCATGAATAAGAAGTAATGAGTATGTATAAGAAGTGATGCATAGATTTTTTATTGGTTAATTGTCAGTCTAGTGCTCCTCCTTTTTATTTATTTGAATCAGTCAGTCCTGAAATTTGCAAATGTTAGTTTTAGGTACGTTGGCAGTGCTTTTGTTGGTAGTTATAGCCCTTAGATTGTAGTCTAATTTGCCATAAGGTGCCATAAGGTGGTAAAGTGGATCAAGGATAGAAAAGGAATAAAATGCTAGTTATTAATATATCGTTCAGAAGTTGTGATGAGTTGTAAGGAAGAAAACAGCAGGTTATCATCTGTGTAGTTGGTGGTTTAAGGAAGCTTTATGTTTTTTTAAAGCATTTTTGTGATTTGCATTGGAATTTTATGTGATATTAACAGGAAGAGCTTTGGCTTTGGCATTAAAAGAGGAGGGTTTAAGTCCTGGCATTGTTACTTTTTCAGCTGAGCAGTCTTGGTCAAGCTAGCTAATCTAGGACCATCAGCATCCTCATCTTGTTAAATGAGGCTAAGGATTCCTGCCTCATAGGGTTGGTGTGAGGCTGAAATGAGATATATGTGCAGGCACTGTATAAACTGAAAAACTACTCACGAGGGGGTACAAAGCCTAAGATCTCAAGGATGGAGGAGCCATCAGAGACATTTCCTTAACTTTGGGTAACAATACAGTGCAACTCTTTGGGTCCAGTAAGGGGTTTTATTATTTTTTAACATCACCTGAAAAGTTTCTTCAAGTACTTTACGTAGATCATTTTGGAGGGAAGAATTATGGGACTTTTAAAGCAGGGATGTCAAGGGAAAATAAATTGGAAAGTCAAAGTAGTTCAGTTAACCGTGAAAGATTCCCTAAAATGGGCTGTTCCCCTTGTCACCTTGGGAGAATTTATCTAGTTGGGAATACTTCTAAAATGATGTAGTAAAACTTTACAAACGGTCTAGAAAGTAATGACTGTAAACCAGTGTAGTATAAATGAATATATAAGTGTTGGGTTTTAAAGTCGTAATCATTGGGAGTGACCTTAATGAGAGGTGCTCTCTAAAGGTGAGCCCTGCCTCTCCAAGTGGTAGACGGAGAAAATAGGGAAGGATGAGTGGTTTGGTGGGATTGCAGAGGAGAGGCACATTGTTCTTTTACTTAGCCTGCAGTGGAAACTTAAGCACAGGAACTTTGTAAGTATATTTAAGTCATTGGACTTCTTAAAGTAGAGACAAGGTTTCCGGACAAAACTATTATTTAACATACTAAATTTGGTTTTTCTGCCAAAATATACTTTGATGTTACTGAAGAGGGGAAAAAAACCTTATTTAGTATCCTTTTTTTTTTTTGGCCGCACTGCGCGGCATGCAGAATTTCCCTGAACAGGGATTGAACCCGTGCCCCTGCAGTGGAAGTACGGAGTCTTAACCATTGGACCACCGGGGAAATTCTAGGATCTTTCTATAAAAGCTTTTTCCTTCAGTCTCCACCCCACCCAAACTCCCAAGCTTCATTTGGCCCTTCTGTGGTAAGAGCCATAGAAGATAAGCACTAAAGCCGTCTCTAAAGTTTACATGTCAGGCCACAGGCCTGACTTTAAAAAAACGCAGTAATTGGATGAAAAAGAAAATTAACACACACTGTCTCCATTTTTCAATTTCTTCTTCATCTAGCATTCTTTGAAGAATATAGGTGGGTTTTTGTGGCTAACCCTTTTACAGTAAACTTCTGTTTACTTTTTTGTGTGTGTGTGTGGTACACGGGCCTCTCACTGTTGTGGCCTCTCCTGTTGCGGAGCACAGGCTCCAGACGCGCAGGCTCAGCGGCCATGGCTCACGGGCCCAGCTGCTTCGCGGCATGTGGGATCCTCCCGGACCGGGGCACGAACCCGCGTCCCCTGCGTCGGCAGGCGGACTCTCAACCACTGCGCCACCAGGGAAGCCCTGTTTACTTTTTTTTAAAAACAAAACTTCAGCAAATTTGTTTGATAACAGTTGGCCACCTGGTGTTCAGGTGTTCTTGCTGATGGAGAGGAGTGAAAATGGGGGATCATCCTTTTTTCTGCACCAAATCTGAGATACTGAGGCAGAAGTTCAGTGTGATCAGGACATGCTGACTCTGAGAAACCTTAGCGCCCACCATTAGCTCTAGATCCTACCCTCTTAACATTCAGAGGTCCTCTTGCTTATTTCCCAGTGTATGTAGACCTTTTAGGAGCTTCGGGTCATCTTCTGTTTTGTCTAGGCTTATGGGAAACAGTAGAAAAAGTGGTGTTAATATCAGTATTGAGGTATTTACTTGGCTAGGAACCTTCCTCTATGCCCTGAATGAGTATTCTTATTTTAAGAAAGTCCATATTTGTAAAATGGGTTAGGTAGGTGTTGATTATTCACATTATGATCGGATTCTCTTATCTCGTCATGGCTCTCCATTATAGTGATATCATCTTTTTTTAAGTTGAGATACATATTATAAGAGGGGTTAAACAAATATTAAGAAGAGATAGCATTGGTAAATGGAGCATTACAAATTGTGCCAGCCAGTAGGATTTTGGTGACCTTGTTTTTTAGAGTTTGCAAGGATGGGTTAATATGCTTTTCATTCAGGTTAATATGCCTTTATTCTTATTTTCTACTTAGTGCATCATTGTGACATTTTGATCCAGATTATTGATGGGGCTGATTTCCTAGAAGTTTTGCTAACTGGTAGACAGCAGTGGTGTATCTAGGGAATGCGAATGAGCAGCTGCCTGGAGGAGTGAATCACACAGCAAAAGAGGAAAGTATCTTTAACTCCTAGTCTTCTGAGTATCATAGATTGGAAACTTAGAAAACCAGAAGTTTGTGCAGATCTGAGGACCCCAGAGACTTCCCTCCAGAATGCACAATCCTTTGTTTTCTTATGCCCCAAAACATGGGACTGTAAACATGCATCAGGGCCAGTGAATGAGAGTTAACTTCTCCAGAAATATACTAGCATTCAGAAAGCTAATGTTTGCTGCTTTCCTATTTTATACAGGTAGTAAGCATTAATAATGTCTTTCATCTTTGAGTGGCTCTACAATGGCTTCAGCAGTGTGCTCCAGTTCCTAGGTAAAGCCATTTCCTTGAAATATATCATAGGTTTCAAACTATGTGTATTTCCTGTAACCATTTAAATGTTGATACAAGTAGGCTTTGGTGTGTAGAGAGCAAATTATGTTAACGTTTGGTTTTTTCTTTTTTAGGACTCTACAAGAAATCTGGAAAACTTGTATTCTTGGGTTTGGACAATGCAGGCAAAACCACTCTTCTACACATGCTCAAAGATGACAGATTGGGCCAACATGTTCCAACATTACATCCGAGTAGGTTTGAAAATACCTGGTGACCTTTTGATATTTGAGGGTCAGTGTCAGGGCTGTAGGATGAATCCCAAGTTGATTCAGTTCTGTTATTAACTGAAGCCCCAAAAGACAGCTTACTTGAAAAAAATTCCTTATAGGATACACTCAGGTCAAACACCCATAAATCTAAACCTCTGGAACTTTGTCACTATCTGTTCTGACTAGTCCTGCAATGGGACACATCTCCCATATCTACTTCTAAGGAGCAGCAAACACCTTGGAGGAAAAGAGACTTGTTGGTTTTTTAGAATTATTTAAGAGTGTTTTCACCGTTGTATCCTTTTCTTTACATAGTGAAAGCTTCATTAGGTTTTGCATTTGTATTGGATTAGAATACTGGTAGTTGGGCCTTGTTGGATGGAGAAGTTTATTTCCTTCCTTTATTTTTCAGCATCAGAAGAGCTGACAATTGCTGGAATGACTTTTACAACTTTTGATCTTGGTGGGCATGAACAAGGTAAGAGATGATTCAGTGGAAGGGTGGTTGACTTCTGGTTCATTTTGTTCCCCTTTTTTAAAGCAGTGTGTCA